TTTTCTCACATTTTAAATGAAAAAGGCAAACATTAGCATTCATTTGGAGTCAGGTCTTCAGCCACCTGACAGATGTTCACTTCAATTTTCACTCTCCTTTAGGCTCTGTTTTTGGTCCCCACTACATCCTGAGGAAGATATCTGGCTCTTCAGCTGTTAAATGCTGCAGTATGTTCACCAGCTGGTTGTTAAATTTGTCTGTCTGCAGTTTGGTGCAGCAGCATTTTCAGGATGTCCCGATCTGATCTCAAAGATTGCTTCATGGCCTATCAAGGCTTGTTTTAACTGATGGGTATCGACTATATTTAGCTAAGCTATACTTTGTTTTAATTGGTACAAAATGTTTTGTTCCAGTTTTGTTCCAGCACCTCAGCCAGCAGAAAGCAACTGAAAGTGCTAGTTTTTGCCAATGTCTCTATAGAGAAAGATGTTTTGTTCAAAGCCACCAGATTTCATTGAAAACAGCCCAACTATTTCACCTTGCAGAACACAGTTCCTGATCTATCAATGCCTTGGTGGGTTACTTTGTTTTGTTGTGATTATATTAGTTATTTTGAGGGTTACCACATGCACAAATTACACAAGTGGAACTGATAAGAGCTTTTTGTAAATAAATCTTTTAGTTTGTTTACTTAGTTATTAGAAAGACAAATTAAAACCAATGCTGCACAATGGAATTGTAAGAAGAGCCATATAAAAATATTTTATACCAATTTTTGCTTTTTTCGTTTTAGTTAGTATCATAAATGTGACTTAACTTGAGTTGTATTTTTATCATGCATAATTACTTTTCTTTTCTTTTTACTTTTCCTGTTGAAAATGGGCTCCCATAGATTCTGCTGTAATCATATATAATGTTATAAAGCTGTAGCCTACGATAAACTACTGCTTTTCACAATGTTTCTTTTAGCACCTACTACACTGCAGTCCGGATTTCAGAAATACTGAGGTCACAAGGCCAACCCAGTAAAAATGATTTTGATACTACACTAAAGTTTTATTAATATGTATTTTAATTGCATCTCTTCCGGGCCAAAAACAGAGCTTGTCTTAAGAACCTTAAGGGCTTTAAAAAACTGTAAAGAAGGTAAATAGAAGTTCGGAGGACTGGTACAGCCCTGTGATAAGTGTCTCATAATGGAAGTGCATTAAATTCAAACGGGCAAACCAATAATAAGGACAGTAGTTTACATGCTACTTTTACTCAAATTTAAATTCACCTTTTTTTTTAAATTCAAGTTAAACTTAGCCTATGTATTAGCTATAGCTGCACATTATTAGTCCTGTGCTGATGGTTGGCTGGCGGTGACAAAGTAAAAATTGAGGTTGGCCTGAATAAAAGTGCTGAGAATCCAAAAAAAGATGAGAAGAGGAAATAGCCTTTTTAGGTACAAGAGGGCCCTTCTGTCAGTCACCACACACTGCAGGGATTTACTTGGTGTCATGGTGGCTAACGCTGCCCAGATGGTCTGATGAGGCACTATCTAATTACTTTTCCCATGGTTCCTGCATATCTTACTGGACGTTCCCTGTAGGAAAGCCTTGACTGCCACCAACAGGGGATTCATGCATCTACAGATCAGTGGAGGATGACTAGATTTATTTTTTTAGCACTTACAATAGTTCCATGTGATACCCTGACTTTAAGGATTTAAGGAACAGCAGTGAGGCCAACAGCATAAAATACTGGAGATCATGTGGTAGAGATTTCAGATGCCAAAACAAGCTTTTGATATTAAGAGTAAAGTTTACTTTTAGAACGGAAATATTGATCCTCTGCATAGTTAATAGAAAATAACTAAAGTAAAGATGCAGACCAACTGAACAATGCTGAGGATGATGTATCATACAAACATTTATGTAGCCTTTAGGCTAATTTGCCATGTTTGGCTGATTTTTCCTGCTGTAGTTTCTGTAGTTTCAGTTTGATCACCGGTTTTTATCATTCTCACAGATTGTGAGAGACAGTTTAAAGCACAAATGTAGTTTAGTGGTTGCCAGAGACGTTTTTATATTGTACACATTACAGATACATTACAACAGGCCTACATTTTGCCTTCATGTGATGCTGGGATATTTTTATCTCATGCTGTGTGATACCGTCACTTTTAAGTCAAATGTAATTACTTTTAGTCAGATTTGCTCTAAAATTATGAAATAATATCGAAATTGTAAATTTTGAAATATTATTACTGTTTGTAGCAGGTGGGTTGCTGTAAAGTTACGGCAGATGCATTCTTCATCCCACATTGTGACATAGCTGTAAAAAACATCCGTCAGTATACACAGCCGAGGTAATAGGAATACTGTTAGCATTAATAAAACAGGGGGAAGAAAACAATCAATAAAGATATTGCTTCTAATAGCTTATCAGCACTTTCAAGCATCAAATCAGGAAAGTCCTCATGCAGGCAGGATACATTTTATGGAATTCATCACATACTATATGGGCTACATCATAGGGGATTGGATGTCTCCTTCTTTTGGGTCCCAAAAGGAGTGGAATGAAATGAGAAGGTGGATATGTTGGCAAAACTATCAATCAAACGAAAGCAAATTGACATACAAGTAGAATTAAGTAAAGCAGAAGTTAAAACGATCATAAAGGATTATCTACGCAAAACTTGGCAGGAATACTGGGACTTGTGTCATTGGACGACATCTTTACAATTTACAAAAAAGATGTAGGCATTGGTGGATTACAGAGCAGGAGCTCAAAGGAAGAGACAGTCATCACCCATCTGAGAATCGGACACACAGGATTAAATCACACACTCCATATCATAGGCAAGCACCCTAGCGGACTATGCACTCATTGTAATAAACTAGAAACTGTCAAACATGTATTAATAGTCTGCAGCAAATATAATCAAGAAAGGATGGAATTAATATCAGCATTTGATGAGGGACATAATATTGCAATGGAGGATCTACTTGGAAATAAATCATGGTAAGTACATAATCGTTTAATTAATCATTTAAAAACAACAGGAATAATAGAGAGAGTTTAGTTTGTTGACAGCTCCACACTCCAGTCCACCGGGTGGCGGTAATAGAAGACGAAGAAGAAGAAGAAGAAGAAGAAGAAGAAGAAGAAGAAGAAGAAGGCGGCTGCATGTCAACAGAAATACACAACACGAAGAAGGAGAAGCAGGAAGTGGTGTCCAGCTGCGAGAGACAAGCAGTGAAGTGTTTTGTGGATTGTTAGAAACTCTTTTTCACAGCCAGCTTGTCACTGCAGGAGGAACAACTGTTTTTATATTAGGAAGCGTTGCTCTGTGTCAGTCCCACTGTCTTTGCTCTTCGGGGGAATAAAATGGGTAACGTTTTGTGTTTTGTTGGGGTCGTGTCACTTTGTTATGATGTTGTTAGCTTGCCTGCTAACAGCAACAACTCTGCTGTTACTTATTAAGCTGGTAACAACCATAATGATTCCCGGAGGAGTTTCATATAACCTAGATATAACGCAAGGGGAGAAGCCATTGCAGTTTATATTTTACTTATCATATCTTGCTCTGCATATTAGAACTAATGATAATACATACGTCTGCTGACGTTAAAACAAACAGGCCAGTGCCTCTTGAAATGTCACTAGTGGACAAACAAACAACATTAATGAACCTAAACGATACTCTTGGGCACCTAAAGGGTGTCATTTAGTTACTTATGTTCTACTTTATGTTTTATGAACCACGTTAAAGTCACTGAGGTTTAAATCTCTTGTTCAAAACAAAGCCAAGACATTAAAATACACGAACAGGCTAAGAGAACATACTATACTCATTATCCATTAACAATGAAAACTACTGCTTCCAGTGGTCTTTGCTACTGTCGTCACACCTGATGTGGTTCATATCATACAGGGGATATGTGTGCCAGTAACATTATCAGGCCACTTTGTTGGTGACTGTATGAGCTGTCTGCTGAAAGGACCCCGTATCTTCATCACTTGTTCTCTCAGTACAACTTTCTGGCAACAATGTGGAGATGCTTTGTGTTTCTGATGTGCAGTATTAGTAAGAATAGTAATGCTACAGTCAGTCACCTCCTCCTCCTCCTCGCAGAGGGTTCCCTGCCTTCGTCCTCGCTGAGGCTCCTGGTTCCACCTCTGCGGATGATGTCGGCTGTGATGTGGAAGGTGGTTCGTCTGAGGAACATCAAGCATTATGGGAAAGTGGAGGAGTTTGTGTCTTTGGTAACTGAAGCCATCCCCGGCATCTTGACAGACAGACAGATGAGACTGCTCACTCTGGCCTTAAGAGCAAAGGTAACAGATACAGAGCCATGATAATTCATTTTCAGCAGATATTAGCTTTAAAAAGGAATATGTGGCATTTGAAACCTATTTTTTTCGTAGAATTGCTGTCTTTATAATACTTTTACTAGGATTATTTAGTTAATATAACTTACATTAGATTCAACTTTATTGTGTGCTGTTTTGCACCTACATTTTACAGTATGTGTGAGAAAACATCAGATTATTATGTTCTTGTCTAGTCTACACTATTGTAATCATATATATAACATATATATATAACATAGTGACGTCTATACTGCTTCTTCCCTACAAAACGCATTTGCTTTGTCATGTAGACATCCATAATATACTTGAAAATCAATAAATGCCTTTTTTCTTCACGTACTATAACTCAAAGAAACTAAAACCTGAAATCCTCAACTTTTCCTGCACATTCAAACTTAAAGCAATGATGATGGAGTATCTAGTGTCACATCTGTAGATAGTACTTCAGATGGAGAGAAAGCACTGCTGTTTAAATACATTGTAATGTAAATCCTGTAATTTTTCCGTCCCTGCATTTCAGTATGTCAATATGTAGGCAGAAAGTAATATGAATGAGTATGTGACTCTCTTGCTTAATGGCTTTTCCAGATGACATTACAGATGTTAAGTTCTGAAGAGGCAGAGGATCTCAAAGGTGTTCAAACACACTTGAACAGTCTTCTGCCATCAAGCACAAAACAGGTGTGTAACCTTTTCAATCATGGGCATTAAATGTTGTCTGTTTAGGAAGCGTTCTGCTTATTTTAGTTGTGTATATTTTACTTGACAGGTTCATTCAGGGAATGAAGCTCTTGAAGCCAACTTTGCAAGGCTTGTTCAAAGGCTCCTGGAGGACCCAAAAGGGAGAGAGCACTTCCTCAAGGTGTGTCTCTGTATTTGCCCCATTATTAGCTGTTTGTTTGGTTGTCAAGTGATGCATTAACATGAGGTTTTACAGCCATGCTTTGAGTTGCATTTTCCACTTCACAGAATGTGTTTCCTGTGGAGTATGGCCCTGACTTTGATACAGCTCTGGAGACAGTGGTTGGTGAGTTCTTCACCAGACTGGAACAGTTGCTGCTTATACCAGACTTTAAAGAGGTAAAGACAACAACAACAACTCATGCCAAAAAAACTACACTTTACTGTGCATTTCCCGAGATTGGTTCCAGTCCATCGAAATAAATATAAAAATGAGTTTTGTTTGTTTGATAAAGACCGCAGTGTGGATCAGTGATACACCGTCTGTGCTAGAAGAGTACATGCAGTGTATATCCAAAGCAGATGACCTCAAAGTGCTGCTCAGAAGCAGGGCCCACTGTGATAAAACAGCCAAGATGGATACCAGTGGTAAGTCTGGTCAGTTTCTTTATGTGCATATTAGCGCTGAAATCATCAGTCAATTAACTCTATCGTAGAGTGATTTATGAAGCAAAAAGACCCAACGTTTAGATGTCAAATGTGAAGATTTTTAGTTTTTGTCTTTTCTATATAATTTTAAATTGATATATTTGGGACTTAATCTTATGATTGACAGTGTTCACTGCTGACTTTATTCTGACATTTATAGACAAAATTAAAATCAGTTAATTGAAAGAAAAAAAAAGACAGATTAACTGGTAATGACAATAATCATTAGCTGTAGCCTCAATGCAGATATAACCACACTCACTAAATGGATGAAATGTAAACTAATAATTCTCACACTTTTTTAATTTCTCTTTTCAAACAGTGCCCTCTCTCCCAGAGCAGCGGCTCTTCTCATCATTATCCCTCCCTCCTTCACCGCAAGAAACCATTGCCACAGACATGGAATCTAACATACAAACATCTGAAAGCCAAGAAGAACCTGAGGGGATTTCTCCTTCTCGGGAGGCGGGAGATGTGACGATACAGGATGCAACATTGCCGCCTGAGGAGGACACAAACATTCTGGACAGCAGCAACACAGAACAAACAGCAGGAGGAAAATGCAGTCACAGCATTCCTGACGTTCACGTTGTGGAGGAGTACGAGGGCCGAGCTTCTGCCACCTGCCGCGCTCCCTCTACATCTACTGAGAGCCCTGTATTGTCCAGCTCTAGGATTTGCCCTCCGAGGCGGAGAGTTGCACACAAATGCACTCAGTGTGGAAAGTGCTTTATTTACCGCTATGAACTCCTGGAGCATCAGAGGCTGCACACTGGAGAAAACCCCTACAAGTGCACTCAGTGTGGAAAGGCCTTCAGGAGGACCTCTGACCTGTCAACGCACAGGCGGACACAGTGCATAAAAGCAGCATATATTTGCATCAAATGTGGAAATGGCTTTCAATCTCTACAGGACAGATTTAGACACAAGTGTGTTCACAGCGTCCAGAAGTTTGACTGTTCTCAGTGCGGAAAAAGCTTTAAGAAAATGCACTTGCTGGGTAAACATGAGCTGACTCACACCCAGAATCGTATCTTCACGTGCAGACAGTGTGGGGAAGTGTACCCCAGTATGAGTGAGCTAAGATCCCACCAGAAGATCCATCCTCCCGAGCTGTCCAATCAGTGCATGCAGTGTGGGAAGTTTTTCAGCTCCATAGCCTGTTTGACAGCCCACGAGGTGCGTCACAGGCAACAGAGAACGCAGATTTGTACACGTTGTGGAAAAGCTTTCAAGAGCAAACACGACCTGAGCCTTCACATGCGTAGTCACACAGGCGAGAGGCCGTTTCAGTGCACGTATTGTGGGAAACGTTTCTCTGTGTCAGGAAACCTGAACATACACATAAGGATCCACACTGGAGAGAAACCATATCTGTGCTCTGACTGCGGCAAGGCTTTTGTCTCAGCCGGCGAGCTGCAGATACACCGACGCACCCACACAGGAGAAAAGCCGTACAAGTGCACTGTATGTGGGAGAGGATTCACCATGGCGAGCAAAGTGACACTTCATATGCGCGTTCACACCGGGGAGCGGCCGTATGTCTGCCCCGAATGTGGGAAAGGTTTTTCACGTGGCAGCGAATTGAAAAAACATACCATGAACCATACAGGGGTTCGACCCTACGCTTGTCAGCTGTGTGCAAAGACTTACACATGCCTCAATCACCTGAAGAGACACTTGAAAACTCACAGTGTAGTGCAAAACCAGTCAGCCTAAATTACCATGTGGCATTTTTGTCAGATGAATATTGCATTGAGCATTGCAGTATTGACTTCATGCACTGTGTAAGAGGTTTCAGACTCAGAATGGGACAAGTTCTTGTTTTTACTGATTCCTTATCATGTGTCGTGAGATCCGTTCTGATTGTATCCTCTAGAATTCTTTAAGTGCAGCTTTTGTGCCATTAAGTGTATTACTTTTGTTCTCTGAAGTCCTAAAATATATGTTAACAGGATCTATAAGAAAACATACAACAAACAACAATAAATTTCAACCAGGCCATGAAAGTACTCTATTAGTTTGTTCCTGACAACAGCAGCATTTGTACTTGAATCCATCATTAAACATCCTGCAGTGGTCTATATATATATATAAATATATATTTATATATGTTTGGAATATGATTTGGGAACGTAATAATAACAAATAAGACAACCAAAATGTAGAGATTAAGCTTTTGTAATCCTGATATGTTTTTTTTTTTATAATTATTTATAATTACTTTAATTACAGTTATTTTTAAATGTAGTTTTGGGGATTTTGTTTGTTTCTTTTTTAGAAATATTTATTCAAAACATTTCTGAATTCGATTTGCCTCAGTATATTGGTTCATAACAATCCTAGTAGAAGAAAAATATTAATTAAGATGAAAGTCAAGAAGTAAATGGTAAAAATGACAATAACATGAGCATCATTATAAAGACCATAAAAGACAATGAATATGTACAATTGGACCGTTGTTTTAAATGAAAGGGATGTGTTCAAAGTATGAAGTATAAAGAATATCTCCAATGTGAAATACAACTTTAGTACGCAGAGGGTGGGGCTATAAGAGTCACCTTGGTGATTTCGAGACACTAAAAACGTGAGGGATAAAGGAAAAAACAAGTTATGAAGTTTAAACGTAGGTTTTAAAATTTAGTTATTTGATTGTCCGGAGAGGCGGTGCTTGTCATTTTGACAGTCGAGTGAATAGGAATGGTCTTCTCCGGGCTGCCCCGTAACGCAAAACGAACCTCTCTGTCACAACGGACCCGGACCGGGCCAACGCTTCCCAGAATGAACAACGTGTTTCAGGAAGAAGTTGGCGCCTGAGGCCCCGTATGCGGTTAGCTAGCACGCTAACTCAAAGTATGAAAGATACTCCATTGTAATGATTTCTCTCTCCATCGCTATTGAAGAATTGCACAATGAACGACATGGGTATGTATTAGCTTGCGAAGCTCAGAAAACGGTGTATTTTTCGCGTCTTGTGCGGCTAGTCGATTAGCTACAGTGAAGGATTAGCCGAAGCTCAACAGGCCTCGACTAATCCCTGGAACAAGAATTGTTTTTCCCAATAATACGCCGGTTTTAGACAGCGGCCCTGTGGCTAGTCTGCTAACGTTAGCTAACGCTGTACCTTGCGCACAAACAGTAGTGATACTTCATGTTTAAAGATGGCACTACGGTCGGAGAGGCTTTTGAAATGCACCAGTATTGTGTCTTTCGGACTGATAGTTAGCAAGGACCCAGGTTCATCTGAAATGAAGTGATGTGCTAACAGGTAGCCAGCGTCCCATCAGTAACTTGAGTTCTCACTATGATACATCCCCTCCACATTCATGCACTGTTCAAACTCTTGAGTGTGTTTGTTCTAGCATTTAAGGACAGTCCCGATGTCCACAGCTCTAAACATGAGTGTGTGTGTAGTTATGTACACAACTGGTGCTCCAGATAACTCAGGGCTGTATGTCACAGTCGAGCCTCACAGGGGTGGATACTGGAGGGAAGTGAACAGGCTGGGCTGACTGTACAGTGAGATGCTGTTCTGAAAGGGACAGACATTTCCAGTCTCATATTAACAACGTAGTCTCATCCCCTTCCTCCGACTAATAACCCATCCTTGTTTAAGAGCTAGGATTTTACTATTACATAAAATCCAATCTTTTAAATATGTAAACATCTTTAAAAGGAGTTCGGTGTAGACCTGCTCTATTTGAAAAGTGTCCTGAGAACTGAGAACTTCTGTTATGAATTGAATACAAATAAAACTGGATTAAATTGAATCTTCATTGTCGTTAACATGATTCTCAGTATAAGTTAACTGTGGCGTATGTAGTGACAGGGCTTACAGTGTACATGGTTTTGCTTTTTAAGTTTGTTTGACTCAATCTAGTTTCTCTTTGAAGAATTCAGCGTCCCCCTGTCCTCGCTGGCACTCTTGGTCCCACCACTTCGGCTGATGTCAGCAGTGATGTGGGAAGTGGTACGCCAGCGGAACATAAAGCACTATGGGAAACTGGAGGAGTTTGTGTCCATGGTAACGGATGCAGTCCCCGAACTGATGAGTAAAAGAGAAGGAAGGCTGCTCTCACTGGGCCTGAGAGCAAGGGTAAGTGTTTTATACGTGTAGGTCCACCATGTATACAACGACGGATATTCAAATGAGAGACCTAAGACGAGGGTCTCGTGGAAAATAATGCATTTAATTTCCTCTAGACAACTCTTGAACTGTTGCGTTCTGAACATCCTGAAGATCTCAAGGCTGTTGAGACCCACCTCAACCGAATCAGATCTTCTTGCATTGAGGAGGTGAGTGTTTTTGTTTTTATTAGTTGCAGAACGGAAATGATTAGTCAACTAATCTATCAGTTATTTTGATTGTTTGAATAAATGATAAATGCCAATCCATTGACTGTTTCTGGCTCCTGGAGTGTCACGATTTTCTGCTTTATTCTGTCGTATATGAAATTGGATATCATTGAGTTATTGAGTTAGTCAGACAAAAGACCATCGCCTCAGGCTCTGGGAAATATGTGGATTTTCACTATTTGGACATTTTATTGAAAAAATACTTTTGATTAAACAAGAAAATAATAATGGAAATAATAATAATAATAATAGAAAATAATCATCAGAAAAATAAGTTACTAATTGTATAATGTTTGGTTTGCCTTGCATCATTTGACTGTAGCGTATTGTTTCTTAACCCAGACAAATGATCCCGTGATTGAAGCACCAGAGGCAAACTTTATGAAGCTGGTGCAAGGCCTCATTGAAGACACTGATGGCAGAGAACACTTCCTCAAGGTAAAATCCATGTCATTCATATGGTGCAGTAAATAATATG